CAAAAAAAAAAAAAAAAAAAAAAAAAAAGAAACAGGGTCAAGGGAAGTATCTTCTAGTCCTCTATGTTGCACCAAGTCTTACTCCCTCTACTCTATGGAGGATTCAGCAAAATAATGAACTGTGTTATACCTCCTTGACAGAAGGGACAAATCACTATTGCAGAACTAAAGAGAAACATTACTGCCAAAATGTCCCATTGAGTGTTGTCTTCTAGTTTTGGGCCACTTCTAAATTAAAGTTAAGGTTTAATCTGACCTTAAGAGAATCAGATGACATTTGGGAAGACAGGGATGAGTGGCTTTGTTCTCTCTGGATGCCAATCTACCACCATCCAGATAAAAGTGCCATCAACACCAGATATATGTACTCAATCAGTGCTGAGAGTATTTTATAAGCAAAAATTTGGAACTTGCATGAAAGACCTCTGTTATCATGTTAAAAATCTGATCATCTTAAAGCATTCTCTATGTTTCCTTTTTAAAAATATTGTTTTACTTTTATTCAGCAAAGTAGTTTCCCCCAAATAGAAGTGTTCATGCACAATCAGAATTGGAATATAAATTTTAAAGTAAATGCTAAGTCATTTCACCAAGATTTAATATCCAAGGTTATAGTTACCATGAACAACTCAGGCTTTTATCTTAATGCCTTAAACACCAAAATCTTCAGATCAGAGTAACTCTGATCAGGAGCACGCCAGACCTACAGAGGAAAGGACAAACAAGAATGAGGTAGGATCTTCCTGTATCCCAAATCCTAAACCAATAATGTTTTCCAAGAATTGATTTTTTAAAAATAAACTTTCTTGTTCCCTCTCTTGTGCATTTTCAGGTTGGGAAAAGAGGGGCAGGTGGCTGGCATATCAAGCTCAGTTCTGAACAGATACAGACTGGAACAGGTAAAAGGTGTAGCACTTGGGCATAAAGGGGCTGCCCTCGGAACTGGAAGGAATTTCTCCTCACACAAGGGCCCATGTCCGTATTTGTACAGATGTTAATGGCTACACAGATACAGAAAAAAACAAGTGTACCGTACTCCCTACACCCATCCCATTTCCCGCTGGGTATGTAGCCCTCTACATTTTTCTCTAGACTCATACAAACATAAAGTATACAGCTTTATGAATAAAGCTATAGATGTACATAAACCCAATTGGTAACATGGGAGGAGAGGGAACAATGATTGCTTTTTCTTTCTGCACCTGTGTGATGTATTTATACACACTTGTCTTTAAGACTGCATTTGAGAAATCCAGGTGTTTGTACCTCTATCCATACAGAGAAGGTGAAAGAATTTTAACTTTTTATGACTTTTAACTCTTACTGGAAGAACTCCATCCTGCAGACCCATATCCTGAAAAACAAAAAGTTTCCTCTACAGAACAGTAACCACCCAAGTTTGGTGTGGTAGGAGCAAAGGACTGGGCTGTAATAGTTTTAACACAAAAACCATGGAACAAGACTCCAACCTGGAGACCAATACCTTGAAACTCATAAAAAGCTCCTTCTAAAGAAAAGTGAACGCACAGAGCTGCCCAGCATAAGAGCAGGATGTTTCATCCAAAGTGTGAGGTTAGGCAACATTATTCCAAAAGATGCTTCTGACTTGATCATTCTATGTGTCTCTGCCTCCCTATTCCCTAGAAGCACCCAGGCCTGTAGTCACCCAGAGAGAGTAGGCAGCCCAGGCAAAAACCTTCCTACGGTGTCACTTCCTACTGTTGTCACTAACTCGCCCTAGGGTTTATGGGATAAAAGTGCACGGGACCAGGGAGAGGAGTGGCCAATTGTAGCTATGACAACATATCAATGTGCTGTTGTTGTGTTTTGTTTTGTTTTGTTTTTGGGTTAGTGTGTGCTTGGCCACCCCCCCCCCAAGATCTATGATGAGACCTGGTAGGGAGATCATGTGCATACATCGCCGCCTCCTATCTGCCCCGCCCCCCTTGCCATTGAGATGTTCCAATTGCTAAGTTCAGGTGAGTCAAAACTGGAAGATAGCTGTTGCCAGCATCTGTGTAGGCATGCGTAGGAAAAGACGTAGCCACAACACCAGCTCTATAACGCTGTCCCTTCCTAATTGCTCTCCCAACTGCGGGTGCGCCAAGCCGCGTTACAGTGCAGTGAGCAGGGGCTTCCCGCAAAGCCAAAAACTTACATAAGCAGCTGCAGCCGCCTCCCCTGCCCCGGGCAGCCCGACAATGGCGGCTGCACGACTTCCTTGTTGCAAGCTTGCAACTTCGGAGTAGGGAGGAAGCAGGGAGCCAAACGCAAGACCCAAGCAGCCCTCAAGGCGTAGCTATCAAGCCCTCGCTCTCAATTTCTTTGGGCCCGGGAGGTGAGGGAGTGGAGGAGGTCGTTTGCATTCCTTCCCAGACAAAAGCTCCCAGCTTGGGAGCCAGGTGGTGAAAGGGCCACTTTCCCTTTCATAATCAGACGTCGTCAAGCGCAAGCTGAGGACCGCGGCTCAGAGCGCGCAGGGAGGGACTGCGGCCCGCGGCGGCCCCGGCGGCGCGACGAGCGGGAGCGGGCGTGCGGCCGGCTCCGCAGCCCCGCGCCGCGCCGCGCCGCGCCCCGCTCCGCCCGCGAGCCCGGAGCTCGCGCCCCGCGCACTCCCCGGCCAGCTCGCGCCGGGCCTTCCCCCGCCCTCCCGCGGCCGGGGGCGGGGGCGGCGCGCGGCCGGCGAACCCGAACTCCGCGGGCGCACAAGGGGGTGCATGCGCTGGGGTCCCGGCCCCCTCCTCCGCCGGCGGCTGGGGGCGGCGCGGTGGGGCCCGCGGCTCGGAGGGGCGGCGCCCGGCGGGCCGTGCTCGGCGCCGGGTTCAGGCCGGCGGTGCACTGCGGCGGTGCGAGCAGGGGCGGCCATGAACTCGGCCGCCGAGGCTCTGCGAGCGCGCGCGCGGGGCCGTCGCCAGGCCGCTCCCCGGGCCCGCTCGCCTGCCCGCGCGGCCCCCAGGGCTCCCCGGCCCCAAGCCCAGCCCCAGCCCACGCCCTTCCCCGCTCGCACCGCGCCGCGCCGCTGGCGGCCGCCGTACATCCTGGAGCTGGCTGGTGCTCCAGAGCTCGGCGAGAACGCGCGTCTTCCGGGCCGCCTCGCCAGCCGCCGGCCGCCCCCGCGCCCGCCTAGCGGACGGCCCCGGCCCCCTCCGCACCCTGGCCCGCGCTTACCTGCAGCCTGGCACAGCCACAGACACTGCCGTGGGTTCCCCGCGCTCGCTAACAAACGCAGGCCGGGACAGGATGGACTCGGGGCGCGGGGGCACAGTGGGTGGCAGTGTGTTTTGGATTTTTTTTTGGAGTTTGGGGAGGGGGCGGGGTGGGGGAATCGTGCACGTCCCTGATGGCAGCAGCCCTCCTCCTGCACGAGCACAGAATGTCTAGCCGGCCCCGAACACCCCCACCGCCCCCCCCTTCCCGTGCATGCGCGGTGCGGGCTGGGGGGAAGGCGCGCCGCCGGCTTGCGCAGGCACGGAACCCGACCGGGCCTCTAAGTAGGCGAGCAGAGAAAGGGTTAATCCGGGCCTTTGCCGACGCTTTCGTTGGAGACTACGGGGCCGCCCCCGGAGGGCCCTGGCCTGCGCACGCGCGCGCACGCGCGCCTCTTGGGGCGCGCGGAGCCCGCGCGCGGGAGAAAGAGTGGGCGGGGCAAAGGGCGGGACTTCAGGTGCCAGGGAATTTAAGCGCGAGCCTCGCGGGCACCCGCCCCACATCGAGATCCCTCCCGCCCAGACTCTTGGGCTCCCTCCCGCGCCCGGCGCCGTAGGAGCGCCGGGGACGCGGGAGCCGGCGTTCCCGTGCGTGTGCATGTGCGTGGGCCAGAGCCGCCCCCGGGCGCGCGCAAGTCGGGCGCAGAGGCTGCGTGACTCCGCTGCGGCTCGGGGCGGGCGCCCGGGGCACCTTCGTTCTCAGCGCGTACCGGCGGGCCTACGGTCATGCCTCTTGTCGCTGGCACATTGAGTTTGTGGGGGTGTGTGAACGGCGCACAATAAACGTTTGCAGAACAAATGAAAAAAGTGACGTCTTTAATTTGTAGTGTAAAGCGCAGCCCCAGTCGCCCAGCAGAAAGGGACCATCCATAGGTCTCTGGAGCTAGCCAGGTCCTTGCCCAGACACTACCCAGGAAAAGCCCCGGGGGCTGGAGGCGGCGACCCCTCCGTGGCAGACTAGACCCTGGACTCAATTCGGAGAGCTCGGATAATTCGGCTCTGTCTTTACATCCCTGCTCAGCGCTAGTAATGGCTCCGTTGCTGCTGAACCACGTCGCCTTCCCTCTGACGCGGCGGCTGTGCCGGTGCCTGGCGTCGGGAGCTGGGAAGTCCCTCCCGCTCCCGCGTTTTCGGCTCACCGGAATGCAGGAGGCTGGACGGCAATGCCGCGCCGCCTTCAGTCGCTCATGTTGCTTTTCCTCACACGCGAACAGCGTTTCACCCAAACGCGTAATTTCATATCTAAAAATTAGAGCAGAATCTTCCTCCCGGGCTTGTGTGAAGATGACATAAGATAATGCTTGCAACAGGCACCTACGTAAACATTTGGGAAATGATATGATGATTGGCTGTATTCATTTTCTAAAGGAAATTCCATATGACCTCACTTGATATTGTAATATTAATCGACTTTGGTTTAACGTTCCCCAAGGTGCCTTAATACACATCTTTTTTTGATGTTCGCAAAAGCACCCAAGATGCGGCTTATATGAAAGAAATAGAATGGAAGAGACCAGTTGTAGAGTCAGACATAGCCAGTTCAAATATTGGTTAAACCGTTTAACTTTTCTAAACCTCAGCTGGAGCAGAGCTATGAAAAGCATCTAATTAAGCAGTTGTAAGGATTAAGTGAAATAACGCCCAGCTAAGTGCTCAGTTCAGGTATTAACTCCGTGATGGTAAATGACCTGAGCCCACAGATAGTGGGTTCCAGTGGCCTGGACAGGACAAGAACCAAGTCGTCTGCAGCCAAAGTTCACACCGTCAGACAGGATCCCCTGTACTCGCTCGCTTTCTTGTCTGCGTAGCTCTGAGAGTTGCATTTCGAAGCTGTGTATGTTGTGTGTTTACAGGAGGATAATAATAGTACTCTATCATAGTTGCTTCACCAAGCAGTAAAGCAGCCGCTGCAGTTAGCACAGTGTGTGGACACGGCCAGCTCCCAGTCATGGCGCAACGGCTGCCGGAGCTCCCGGTCCTCCCATACCACATATGGGCTTTCCCACTCATTCTGCGTGTATTTTTGGTCTGCCTACTGTGTAAAGACAGTCTTTTCACATATGGCTAGGAAAATTCTTGCCACGTTTCAACTAACCCGATAACATAATTCACAAGAGTCCTAAAGCTCTAGAATGCATTTCTCAAGCGAGCGACGGTTCCTGACATCCTGGTTTTGTATCAATGAAACCTCTTCTCTCATTTGTTTCATGTTCCATGTCACCTGGGCTGTGCCTGACTGTCCCTTGCTGGTTCACAGGGGTTGTGGAGATGAGTCTAAATGAAAGGGACAACTCTGAGGGAATGAGGAGGGAGGGATGGGGAACCACAAAGGAACGGCCTGACCCAGGCCTGGCTTCTCGCCTGTGTCGCCACCCAAAAGTGCACCTCCCAGCACCCAGGAGTCTTTCAGTAAACATCAGCTGACAGAGTGGCAACCTTGAACTTGATACTAAGGGGCTTTGCAAAAGTACACTGTGGAGTCAACCGGGCATCAGAGCTTTCCTGACCCGCACTGACCTGAGGTCCTTGATAAAGTTTTCCTCCTCTTTGGACAACTCCCCTGGGTAACATTCGGAGCATGTTGTTCCTCAACTGGGACACCCATGTCCTCCTGCGTGGAATCTGTTTCTAAGAATTCTGAGGCCCAAGTCATGGGGCCCGTGATGTGTAGTCCCGGGTGCCAGGGTCTCATGTGGTTACACAGCAGCCTGGTAAGGGACTGTTTGGAAACTTTATGTGTCATTGGCGGGGGAGGTTGATTTGTCCCTCATGTTGACCTTGGGCTCTCTGGCTGGTTTTGAAACAGCAGGATACCAGCAGAGGAGTGGGCCAGGTCTGAGCAGAGGCTTTGAGAAGCAGCCTGTGTTCTGTGCCTCCTCTGCTGTGACATCCAGCAGGACACGAACATGCTTAGGCCACAACCTCCTCTTCAGCTTGGGCCCTTGAATGACAAACATATCTGAGAATGAAGCCAACCAAAAACCTGAGCCCACCCAAGCCTAGGCAGTAGACAGCTCACCCACACACCCATGAATGAGAAGTAAATGTTTGTTTTATAAGCCACTGGGAGGTTGGGTTTTTTGCTTTGTTTCTGAGCAAAATCTAATATACCTGCCCAAGGAAAAGTGTCCCACCCAATGCCATAAGCACCCTCCCCCGTCGACTCTGAGAACACTGGATACAGTAAATTAACAAAAAACAGATCCAATCCATGATGACAGGGAGATACTGATGTGCACTTCCACAAATAATCACATCATTATACAATTGCACATTGCAATAAGTGCTTTTATAGAAAGTTAAAAAGCACAGAATGTGATGAAAAAGAGGAACAGGAGGAATTAATTTTGCCCGGGAAATCAGTCAAAGCGTCTCCAAAGGCATACATTTAAGAACTGAAAGATGAGGGAGAGATAGGCAGAGAGGGCGAAGAAATAGTATTTCAAGACAGGAGCAGCGTGAATGAAAGAGCTTGGAATACCTCAGGCTCTGCAAAAGTGGATGTGACATGGGGTTGTGAGAACAGTGGCATCTAGCACCTGTAGGGCCTTGGGGTTTACAGGAAGGGGTCTGCACAGTGAGAGCCCAGAAAGTATGGGCCATTTAGGTGGAGGGGTAAAACCAAAGGAAGGTCCTGAACATCTGCCAGGACAAGGGGCATCAGGACAAGCTTGTCTTGTGCTTGTGGAGGAATTGCTGCATGAGAATGGAGTTGGCCATGTGGAAGGATCCTTATCCTACAGATCTGAACTGGTGGGGCATCTGGTTGACTCTGGGCACCAGACCCTGTTGTTTCTTCTTCCTCTGGAACCTGGCCATTCAAATTTTCTCGTGGTCTTTTGGGTTAACATCAGAGGAAATTGGGTGAATAGTTTCGGGAAACACTCTGTTACCTTGACAACTCTTCCGAAAATCTAATATAATTTTAAAACAAAAATTATTCCTGTTCATGTAATTATTTCCTCTCAGATTTTTTCTTTGTCTTTAGTTTTCAGCATTTTCATTATGGTGTTTTCTGAGTATGGATTTCACTGCTTATACTGTTTGGGGATTGCTGAGCTTCTTAAATATGTAGGTTTATTTATATCTTTCTCTAAATTTGGGAAGCTTTCAGATATTGTTTCTTCACTTTTTTCCAGCAGCGTACTGTTTCTCCTTTTTTGAGACTCCAATGACAGGAATGTTGAGTTTTTTTTTTATTATTATTATGTAATAGGACCATAAGTCTTTTCATTCTTTAAAATATTTTCTCTGTGTTGTTCAGATGAAATAGTCTCTACTGATTCTCTATAATGTATGGACTTGTTCTTTTGCCATCTCCATTCTGCCATTTAGCCTGTCCAGTGAGCTGTTTTGTTTCGCTTGTATTTTTCAGTTTTAAAATTTTTCATTGTATTTTTCTTTATATATTCTATTTCTTTACTAAGACTTTCTATTCTTTGATTTGAGTGTTCATAATTGCATGTTGAAGAATTTTATAACAGTTCCGTCTAAGTGTCTAAGTCTTTTTTACTTAATTCCAACATCGTCGTCTCAGTGTTACCATCTGTTGATTTTTTTCACACCTGAGTTGAGATTTCCTGGGTCTTTGTATGCTGATTGATTTTGGATCGTGTCATGAACATTTTAAATATTATGTTATAATACCCTGGGTCTTGTTTAAATCTTGTGGAAAATGTTGATATTTTAATTTTAATAGACAATCAGGTTACGTACTTGTCACTAGTTTTGACACACTTTCTGTATGCTGTGGTTTGGTGGTTTTAGATTGCTACTTGGATCTGTTTCACATGCTCCAAGCATTGGCCAGTCCAGGACCTGATCTGTTAGTTCAATTCTCAAAATAATCAGGCTCAGACCCAGCATGTGCAGCTCAAGGGGGAGCTTAGAAGTTCATAAACAACTTTAGGGACTCATTTTCCTGGGCTTATTCCTCTTCTGACTTCCCTGGTACTTTCTACCTTTCTGGAACTCCCTTTTCTGATCCTACATCCAGAAAGTTGGGGCACTTCCATGGCTTTACTCTTACTTACAGCTAAGTGGCAGAAGAACCAGAAGAAAAAAAAAAAGGTAAATTCCCTACTGGCTTGGTAATAAGCTTTCTTGTGTTCTGACATATTGATTTTAAAGAGCTATAAATTTCCTCCTAAAGACTGCTTTCTCCTTTTCAATATATTTTTTTTTTCG